ACTATTGTCTAATCAACCTGTGACTGTGTTTTACTGCTATCTGATTAATCTATAACTGTGTTTTACTATTGTCTAATCAACCTATAACTGTATTTTACTGCTATCTAATCTAGCTATTAGGGGTTTTACTATTGTCTAATCAACCTGTGACTGTGTTTTACTGCTATCTAATTAACCTATAACTGTGTTTTACTATTGTCTAATCAACCTGTGACTGTGTTTTACTGCTGTCTAATCAACCTCTAGCTGTATCTTTTTATGCCTAGCAGAAATACAGTGATATGATATATTTTCAATGTACCCTAAAATAAAGCATAGTTTTACCCATTCGCACATTTCAACTGTTGTCACCAAATAGGGTTGAAATATTAGAAGACGACATGAACAGATTTGTTATTTAGAAACAGGTATTTTAAAGCAAGGACAGGTTCGTAGTTTAGAAACAGGTATTTTAAAGCAAGGACAGGTTCGTAGTTTAGAAATATGCATTTTAAAGCAAGGACATGTTCGTGGTTTATAAAAGTGCATCTTAAAGCAAGGACAAGCATGGTATTTTGTATTCATTTTAGTAATAAAACTTGTTCAATACATTGGAATTCGATTACTGTGGTCTCGTTTTTTCATTCTGAATTAAATGAACATTATACAGTGCTAATAATATTAGTGTTTTAATTACAGACTTATAACTTGAGCTCTTTAAATATATGTACCTTTTTTCGTCAGGTTAAAGTGTGAACTTTTGAAATTGCCCAAGTTATACGACTTTGTATATTTATCTTTAATTGATTTTCGAACCCATTCGTTTTGTTAACATCACGAGTGCCTCAATTAACTTATAACCCTCTTCATTTCTTAGCCTTAATGTGCAGTCCTATTTCGTGTTCTTGAGTTAAACATCTTTGACTTTAGAGGTCTAGCATAAACATATGTATTTTGATTTAAAACCCCACTCTGTTAACTTTCCACCATAGCGAATACACCAGTATTTATGTCTCGAACCTCTGCTCTACTGAATTCTGAGGTCTAGTGTAAACAGCCAAGGTTTCAACTTGAAATCCAATTGCTGCTTCTGATCGTAGCTTAAGCATCTGTGATTTTTACTTGAACCCCGGTTTTCTTCACTTCCGAGGCCTAGCGTAAACAGCTTTGTTGACTTTTGATCCTAAACTCTGAAGTATGCAGTTAAACAATATATTTCCCAGACCCTTATTTAATATAAGAAATTCAAATTATCTGCATACTGAGTATGTAATCTTAATATTGAATCTCAGTCAAGAGAGCTACTTATATTCACTGAACTTGGTAATTCAACTAGTGTGTCAGATGTACCTTCATATGGGAAAGATTCCTGTAAATTGGAGCATATTTTATAGAAATAGACAGTAATATGTTCTGCTGGCAATTTAGGTGATAACACAAGGACAAAACAATCTTTATTTTGTAGTGAGAGTGACCATGAGTCACGTGGATAGCACTTACATCCAGAGAAGAATGATACTGTCCTGGCATGGCCTGGTGGTTAAGGTGCTTGAATCGTCGGGTCGCGGGTTCGAATCCCCGTCACCGAAAACGCTCGTCCTTTCAGCCATAGAGGCATTATGATGTGACAGTTAATCCCACTGTTCATTGGTACAGAGTAGCCCAAGAGTTGGCGGAGTGTGTTGTTTACTAGCTACCTTTCCTATAGTCTATCACTGTAAATTAAGGAAGCTAGGGAAGATAGCCCTCATGAAGCTTTGCACAAGATTAACACCAAACCAGAGTGGCATTGTTGTTTTTGTGTGTATAATGCCATGTTTTGTCGGTCTGTAACAAGATTTAGAGATTGATGTGGTGAAAATTTACAGATAGATTTGAGCTCTCCTATAAAGGTTCCTATTAGATACAAAAAACCTTGATTGTTATTTGTTTGAAATAAAGATGATTTACTGTATAATACATTGCGCTCGGTCTCTTTTTTTTTCTTTTTTTGCTTCAAACTCAGTCGAGATCGGAAAATTTAGATTTTCGCTCCACAGTGCATATTCTCGTGAGACTTCTCTTGTTCGGCGGCTTCAACCTGATTATTTTTAGCGAAATCAGTGAACCTTAGAACACTGAGCATAACATGCGTAGCAGTGGTTTTGTTATCACAGTTCCATTAGTTTCCAATCACGTGTCTGCCGGTGGGACAACGGTAAGGCTGCAGAATTACAATGTCAAAATTCAAGGTTCGATTTCCCGCAGTGGACACAGCAGATACTCCAACGTGGCTTTGCTTTAAAACAACCAAACCAAGACAAATCCAATCACATACTACGTAATAATGCTTAAAGTTTTTGTTTTTTTCCTCATATTTAATTATGCTAAGCTGGTGGTGCTTTTGACCAGAGGAGATAAGTAACAATGTAGAAGCAGTAAGTGGGTTGGTTACATATGATATTGTTATGTATATTCCAGCTTTTATGTTATAATAATTCCGAAACACCAGTCCTTAAATAAGCATAAAAGTTTATCATTCTCATAGAATTAAATAAACTTCATACGTGTCTTAGATATTTAGGTTAACAATATTTTTTGGTGATTGACATTAAAACAGATGAAAGAAATAATTATTTCAATCTCCTATTTTAGGATATTATTGTCAAAAATCTGCATGATGAAGTTCATTTTCTAAAACCAAACTACTGTGCTCAAAATCTGGTTGGGAAAATTCTCTTTGTCACAAAGTCTATGTTTCTAAAAGTTGTTTAAGTAGGTCTGTAGTTCAACATGACTGTAGGAAGTGTTCCAATATATAGTGTATGGTTATTCACTGTTTAAATCAGTCCTTCTTGTAGTTCAACATGTATGTAGGAAGTGTCCCAATAGTTAGTGTGTTGTTCTTCACTGTTTAAATCAGTCCTTCTTGTAGCTCGAAATGTATGTAGGAAGTGTCCCAATGTTTAATGGCCATATTTCCGGCATTGCTTAAACAAAATCATATTTCAACGTCAATATTTATCTTTTAAACTCATCGAGAAAGCAACTACAACTAATCCGTGGACATCTGACTGGAATTAGTTCTAAACATTATGTTGTCATGTGCAGGACTTAAAGCTTTGTGTGTTCGTGGTGAAGTACCTGTGCTAACATTATTGTGACTGACTGCAATCTAACAATACTGTCATATACAGCCCTTATAGCTACGTGTGTTTTCAGTGTCTCACTTTGTTCTTCTTTATTTACTACTTCCAGTATCCTTTCATAACTTTATGTTAAGTGTTATCACGTGCACCATTTTTCCCGCCCTTTTAGGCAGTAGATATCGAATTCTTTCGGTTTGTTGACGTCATTATTTCCACTCGTTAAACATTTTATCTGTGTTGTAATACGAAATTCCGAGTTTTTAAATACAGGGTATCCGTTTTTGTTATTGATTAGAATCATCTAATTGCCATCCTCCATGATAGCAGTGGTTCCATCTTCCATATTATCAGTCTCACTCAGAATATGTCATTCTCTATGTTAACAGTGTCACCCAAAATATGCTATATTAACCTGATAGATAATTGAATGAAGTTTTATTAGAACATGAACTAACAGTTTGTACTGACAGTCTTAAACACAGTTGAAACTCGCGGTCATTAGGCTGTTGCTTTCTTTAACTCTCGTTTTTAATTGTGATTTGTAAAGATTATTAGTTTTATAGTATTTGGTTAAAAGTAACCTGTGGAAAAGTTTATCGGTGAGTGGAATCTGGATTTGGAAAATTGCCAATAACCAGCCTTTCTTTTTTCGTTAGACTGTTTCCTACAATGACGTCACGTTGCATGCTATACTTAGAAACCAAGCTGATTAACGGACACCCCCAGTAGCATCATAAGGGCTGCTTTCCGGATTAGTGAACACAATGAAGTATTTACCACAACTGAACTATGTAAGAGAAGATGAGGTTGGACAATAGTCTGGTCTACAAGAAGCAGAATTATACACGAAGTAGTACAAGGACAGGATGTAATCGAAAGATGGTTCAAATTAATCCATACTTTACTTATAAGTTATAACAAATCAATAATTTGGTGGATAGTCATCTTGAATTCAATGTGCAACTTACCCGAGTTTAACTTCTTTTCTTTTTTTTTCTCAGAGTGTTTCAAGTGAGAGAAAGTCGCAAATAAGCACAAAGTTCTTTTTTCTGTGGTGATCTTTTTTCGTGATCGTTCTGTGGGATATATTGATTTTTTATTACTAAAAGTTTCATTCTGAAGCCACCGAATGTAGCTGGTTTAGCACGTGGGTCTTTGCCCCTCCCCATGCAGAACTGGAGACCCGTGGTAGATGTGCCGTGCTGCACAGATACGGAGAAGGCTAGCTGGGGAAGAACCGAGTGTACATTGAAACACGTGTTAACAAATGCCAGTTTCACACGAAACGGGATTGTTAAGCCGTGCAGCTGCATCGTTCATTTGATCTTGTTACAGGTAATAGATGCAATATTGAACCTTGTAGCATTAAAAGTTTGTTATTGGTTGGTTGGGAATATGCCTTTAATATGATAGATAAAATAATTAAATAGTGAGAAAATAACATATGAGTTTTCAACTAGATGTTAGATAAACAATTAATTAGAATGTTACTTCCAAAAGCCAATAAATAATTTTAATGTTTCAAGATATGATTGTGCACAGAAATATAGTTTCGAATGTCGTATAGTTTTTCATTTAATTATATATATATATATTGTATATATACGTCCTGATGTTGTAATATTGGAATAAGCTTGCACTTTTTGGTTGAACACAAATCTGTAACATAACAATGTTATCATTATGGCTTTAGAAACATAATTTTGGACAACAAACAAAAGTTGGACCATTCCACGTCTACCGTATACCTGGCTTTGCACATATATTTATAAAGTTTAGCAGGTGACTTCTTGAGGTTTACTCTAGCAACCCCTAATTTAAAGACAATAGACTAGAGTTCATAGGCCATTTGATGAGGAAAGAAAGATAGAGCACGTAGTAACAACCTGCCAGATGGAAGGAAAGATGGAGTGCCTAGTAACAACCTGCCAGATGGAAGGAAAGATGGAGCGCCTAGTAACAACCTGCCAGATGGAAGGAAAGATGGAACACATAGTAACATCCTGCCAGATGGAAGGAAAGATGGAGCACCTAGTAACAACCTGCCAGATGGAAGGAAAGATGGATCACGTAGTAACAACCTGCCAGATGGAAGGAAAGATGGATCACCTAGTAACAACCCGCCAGATAGAAGGAAAGATGGAACACATAGTAGCATCCTGCCAGATGGAAGGAAATATGAAACACATACTAACATCCTGCCAGATGGAAGGAAAGATGGATCACGTAGTAACATCCTGCCAGATGGAAGGAAAGATGGAACACATAGTAACATTCTGCCAGATCGAAGGAAAGATGGAGCACGTAGTAACAAACTACCAGATGGAAGGAAAGATGGAGCACCTAATAACAACCTTCCAGATGGAAGGAAAGATGGAGTACGTAGTAACAATCTGACAGATGGAAGGAAAGATGGAGCACTTAGTAACAACCCGTCAGATGGAAGGAAAGAAGGAGAACCTAGTAACTATCTACCAGATGGAAGGAAAGGTAGAGAAAAGGCAGATAAAAAACAAAGATGCTTGATGGGCTCACAAAACGGTGAGGAACCGTGAATAATAATGCAGAATTGTTTAAGAACACCAGGGACAGAGAGAAATCGAAAGTCATTATCATCAACGTGTGTATGCAGGCATGACACTATAAAAGAAGAAGACTGATAGGAAGGAGGCTTGTCATCACTAACACTGTCAATTTATGGACAATATATGAGTGAGCATGTTCAGTGACAGGATTCGAACTCGCGACCCACAAATTGTGTGTCGAGTGTCTTAACCACGGGGGTTAGCAAATCCCTGTTTGGGGAAAGAGACAACTGTCTGTTCACACAGGTAACTTAAGGTTTATCGTAGCTTTAGGATAAGAAACGACAGTCTGTTCACACAGGTAACATTTTAAGTTTGGTCGTAGCTGTAGGATAAGAGACGACAGTTTGATCACACGGGTGGTCAAATAGAACAGCTTGTACAATGTTGAGTCCTTCAAGTGGCTATTATATACTGCTACAAATATGTAGGTACCACTTATCAAAATGTATATGTATAAAACGAGAAGAGTCCTAACCACCTGATAGGTACGTACTTAATTTCTTTTACATGTGTGATGAAGCCTTGACCATTTTTCAGCATACTGTGGATGTTTCTAATAAAGCATCGACCAGTGCTAACATACTCTTGGCATGCTTTTAATGATGTATTGAACAATGTCAACCACATTCTCAGTGTGCTTCTCATGAAATATTGACCAGATTTTAACATAGCCTAAGCATGCTTCTGATGAATCATTCACTCGCGTAGCATGGTCTTTACTTGCTTCTTTCTGATAAAGTATTGACTTGTGCCTAACATATTCTTTTGGTGTTTCTAATGAGTCTCTGGATATTGTTTGGTGGCAAGTTATTCCAATCTTAGAGGGTTACAAAATATACAGGAAAGGTCGAACCGGCATATTGGAAGGAGTTCCAGATTTGCATATTTGGGGTCATGTCTGGAGATAAAATAGTCAGTTATAAGTGAATAGCAGTCATATTTGAAAGAACTCTTCGACGACCCAAGTGGTCTGTATGCTGGCATTGCTATTCACAGCGATGAAGTTGTCTCTAATAATGGCTGTGTATGACTTTACAAAAACATCCAGGGCCTATTCCTTGTACCTCAGAGCTGTCAAAGAGTCCCCCCTCCAGATCACGTAGAGATTAGTTTTGAAATTGAATCTGATGCTTAGTGACACCATTACAGTAGTCTTGTTTAGCTACTCTCGACTTTCCGGTATAACCGTGGTCTCTGAGGTCAAGACCAAACCTCGGCTCATCCATAAAGAGACTGATGCCCAATCTGATATTTTGCAAACCAGTGGTCTTGGCCTCAATTTAGACTTTCTCATAGACTTTGGCTTATAATGCTAGGTCAAAAGCATCCTAATACAAGCCTTCACCAATCCGCCTCTTTTAGTCATTTACAACAGTTTGGGTCAATACAAGAACTCCATTAAATTTAGGTCACAATTGACCTTCTGTGCTGGTTGAAGAGGATCTTGTTTGGGTCAATATATTATCAGAAATCAGTCTTGTCTTGGATTTGTTGCCTTTTTTTTCGGCCACCTCTTTGTATCTGTATTTTTCTCTAAGGGCAAGAGAAATACCACGTTGACTCGCATTTAAGACAACAGCAACACACCTAGAGACCTCCAGTTTGTAGCAATCGAAGCCACGTGACAATTCCTTCAGATTGATTTGGCTTGAATTTTGCTAGCCGTACCTAATTTAGCAGTGAAAGACTAAAGGGAAGTCATCACCACCCGCCACCAGCTCCTGTGCTATTTTTTACCAACGAATAGAGGGATTGATCGTCAAATTATAACGCCCCCCACGACTGAAAGGGCAAGCGTGTTTGGTGGGACGAGGATTCGAATCCGCGACCCTCGGACTACGAGTCAAGCGCCCTAACCACCTGACCATGCCGAGCCCCTTCAGATTGAAATGTCTTGAAACGTGTGCTTGAGCATTAACGGTGCAAAATGCGAGTGTTAGAATATAGAACTAAATACAATACAGAATAAGCTACGTGACATAGCGCATTCACACTATAAAAATGCTTTTATTAGAGGAGTATCTAATTCACATGAGTAATAAATGACCAGAAACTTTTCACCAATCAACTGAATCGAAATGCTACTGTTTCTGTCAGTGGTTTGGATATAAATCATTACTGGGTGTTCGTTAGCACTGAGGAGACAGTTATCTTTATTAGCAGCATACATATATCTGTCCTGGAGTCACTGATCAATCCTTGGCTTACTCAACCAACGTGTCACGTGAGCTCCTTAGGCTGCAGAGTGAGGTTAAAAGAGTATTGTTGTAAAGCATGATTTATACCTCAACCTTTTCTTCGATGCTTGTTGGGTCTTACTGTCCTAAGGGCTTTTGTTATTGGTTTTCAATATTTGTGCTTCGCACTTCGCCAGTATTCGTTATTTCCAAGTGGTGCTTGTGTAGGTTTTCAAAGTAAGGTAGCGACAAGATCGGTGGGAGAAGAAGGTTAACAACCTCCAATAAAGTGGTGTCCCTTATTCAGGAAAAGAAAAGAAAACTGGAAGCTTCTGGTAACTTGATATTCCTTATTCACGATGGTGAAGAAAGACGTTGTAGTAAACAGTTGTCTCATTTTCAGATGGAAAAGAAAGTTAGGAGCTTGTGGTAAACTGGTGTCTCTTGTTCAGGATGGAGAAGAAGGTTATTAGCTTGTGGTAAGCTGGTATCCCTTATTCAGGATGGAGAATAAAGCTAGAAACTTGTGGTAAACTGGGGTCGCTTATTCAAGATGTAAAAGAAAGTTAGAAGCTTTTGGTAAACTGATTTCTATTATTCAGGGTAGAAAAGAATGTTACAATACTGTAGTTAAATGTGATTCCTTAGGCCCATTTTTTGTCAGTTGTCTTTCTTCAAGAGTTTAAGGTCCATTTTTTGGTAGCAGTCTCACGTCAAAGCTTCAGGTCCATTGTTTGACAGAAGTGTTTCATCAAGTCAAGTTATTGTTTGGTAGTAGTCTTCCGTCAAAGCTTCAAGTCCATTGTTTGACAGAAGTGTTTCATCAAGTCAAGTTATTGTTTGGTATTAGTCTTCCGTCAAAGCTTCAAGTCCATTGTTTGACAGAAGTGTTTCATCAAGTCAAGTTATTGTTTGGTAGTAGTCTTCCGTTAAAGCTTCAGGTCCATTGTTTGACAGAAGTGTTTCATCAAGTCAAGTTATTGTTTGGTAGCAGTTTTCCATTTAAATGTAAAGGAACCATATATCACATAATAAAAAGTACAACTTGGACAAACATTTATAGATATGTCGAATATTTTAAACACTTAAGGTCTCTAGTAAGTTGTTACGATTGCGAACATGAATATAAATCCCAAGAAAAGTTTTTATTTATATTATTTGTAAGATGTTTCAGTTCTTAAATTATCAGAATAAAGAATAAAGAGATTTTATGTGTTTCTTTTTTGAATTAGTGGGGAAAATAACTACCCACCGACATTGTTCATTATCTCATAAGAGTGGGATATTAAATGTAAGAAGGCTGATGAAACTGGTGTATTAATCTTTCAAGGTTGTTATGATCTTGTAGTTGTGGAAACAAGCTTTCGTTTTATACACAGACCATGATACTTAGATAATCTAGCACTAAATATACATCCACAACATCATACATACCTAGGTAGTGCTGACTACATAAAACACTGTTCTTACCTAGATACTACAAGATACTTAGATAATCTAGCACTAAATATATATATACACAACATCATACTTACCTGGGTATTACTGACTACATAAAACACTGTTCTTACCTAGATACTACAAGATACTTAGATAATTTACCACTAAATATATATACACAACATCATAATTACCTGGGTATCACTGACTACATAAAGCATTGATCGTACCTAGATACTACATGATACTTAGATAATGTAGCACTAAATATATACACAACATCATACTTACCTAGGTATTACTGACTACATAAAACACTGTTCTTACGTAGATACTACATGATACTTAGATAATGTAGCACTAAATATATACACAACAACATACTTACCTGGGTATTACTGACTACATAAAACATTGTTCTTACCTAGATACTACAAGATACTTAGATAATTTACCACTAAATATATACACAACAACATACTTACCTGGGTATTACTGACTACATAAAACACTGTTCTTACCTAGATACTACAAGATACTTAGATAATTTACCACTAAATATATACACAACATCATAATTACCTGGGTATCACTGACTACATAAAACATTGTTCTTACCTAGATACTTAGATAATGTAGCACTAAATATATACACAACATCATACTTACCTAGGTATTACTGACTACATAAAACACTGTTCTTACGTAGATACTACATGATACTTAGATAATCTAGCACTAAATGTATATACACAACAACATACTTACCTGGGTATTACTGACTACATAAAACATTGATCGTACTTAGATACTACATGATACTTAGATAATCTAGCACTAAATATATATATACACAACATCATACTTACCTGGGTATTACTGACTACATAAAACACTGTTCTTACGTAGATACTACATGATACTTAGATAATGTAGCACTAAATATATACACAACAACATACTTACCTGGGTATTACTGACTACATAAAACATTGTTCTTACCTAGATACTACAAGATACTTAGATAATTTACCACTAAATATATACACAACATCATAATTACCTGGGTATCACTGACTACATAAAACATTGATCGTACCTAGATACTTAGATAATCTAGCACTAAATATACATCCACAACATCATACTTACCTAGGTATTACTGACTACATAAAACACTGTTCTTACGTAGATACTACATGATACTTAGATAATCTAGCACTAAATGTATATACACAACAACATACTTACCTGGGTATTACTGACTACGTAAAACATTGATCGTACTTAGATACTACATGATACTTAGATAATCTGGTACTAAATATATACACAACATCTACATACCTG